ATTATTAAAGTTTTGGCCATTGAGTAAGAACAAAAACAATTGACAAACATTTTCTTTCCTTTTTGCTTTGTTTTGTTTTTAACAGACACTATGAAGCAGTTTCAGTACTAAACTCTAGGAGAGTTATGTACATACCAAAAATGTTCGGTTTAAGATATGTTTCCTATTAAAAATATTTACATGCATTGTTTTGTCACCCCCTCCCCTATTCCTTGAAAGGTAAAACGTTTGTGGTTTCTTCTCATGGGTGAGATTTGTTGTTCTTTTATTGGGAATTTAAATTAGCTCCGAAGAAACAGTGAATTGGGGCTCGCTTGTTGGGCTTTTCCTTTGATTTCCTGGAACCTTCTAGAAAGGGATATATTTTTTTTTACTATTTATATCAATGGATTTTCCTTTTTTTGTGTTTTTTTTTTTCTTTTTCAGATTTCTACAAGAACGTTTCATGGTTATTTACAGGAGAACCAATGGGTGGTGATTGATCCTGGTGGTGAGCGTTGAGAGAGAAGCATGTGATTTTAAAAAGGAGTTCTATCAAACTGCAATGGATATACATTTCCCTAAAGTCAGCAGTTCTGTCTGGTTTGATTGTCAGCTGTACTCTTATGACTTAGACCAGGGGGACCCAGAACAGGGGTAGCTTATGCACTTAAAGTCACTGGTACCCTTGAGGTCTTTGGAGATGCGGTGGATGAGTTGTCTGGAACATGGGGTGAAAAAAAACCCATCTGGGCATCACAGGAGCATCTCCAGGGGTGTCTTTTTCCCAGAAATAAAAATAAGAATTAAAAAAAAAACTCAAAAGGGAACCCAAAAAAGGTTTGTACACTCCAGACTGAGACTTCTCTATAGAGACTGGGAGTGGATATGTCCGTGGAGCTGCAGGCACAAGGTACGTGGGACAGACCAGAGCGAGCATGGAGGGGCTTTGGCTGCTTCACCAGTATCCAGCTCTGCTTCGGCTCTGGATGGGGATGCAGCCATTGGAAAAAGGCTCCATATCCCCAATCCTGGCACACCCCAACCCAGCGCCAGGCCACTGCTATGACGGGGCAAAGGATGGAGCCAACAGCATGGGGGCAAATCCTGCACCCCACAGCAGAGCACAAGGGCTGCAGCGTCCAGCACACGATGCTGGTGGGTAAACCCTCCTCCTCCTCAATAGGTGCAGTTTACATTGAACCTGTGCACGCGTGCGTGCTTTGCACACACACGTATATACATATATACATACATATTAATTACATACACATATATATACATACATACACAACACACCCATCCCTGTTGCCGCAGGCTCCAGCCCAGCCGAGCAAGCTGGCGAGGTGCCTGGTGAGACGGCAGTAACTCTAATAAACCTTTCAGTGCTGAAAGCTCAATGTCACTTCAGGAGCTGCCAGAGCCTTGCAGAAACCCTCGGAGCCCAGAAACGCTCATAAAAAGGGTGTTTGGGGGGGAGCTAAGGGGGGAATAATAACCATGATAAAAGAAATCCATTCTTTTAGCTGATGGTTTTGTTCTCGTTAAAGCCTCCGTGCTGGTGACTCATGGCAGGGGTCGGGTAGCTCTGAGTTATGAGTCTGGGGAGCAGGAGCCAAGGTTCACAGGAAGCAAAGCAGCTCCTACCCAGGGATCTTTGGCACCCACCAGGCAAAATGGGGAGGGAATGGGAACTGTAGAGGTAAAGCAGCACACCGCAGCACACATCCAGCTCAGTGCCATCATCTGCCCTGCAGCAGGATCCCCCCCCCCCAGTACAGGGATCTGCTGCTTTAGTTTTGAAAGGTCCAAAATCAGAGGTTTTTGGAGAAAAAGGTGCAGCTCCCTCCCAGCCCTGCAAAACCTGCGTGGGGCTGAGTCCTGCTGCAGGCTCGGGCCACCTCCATCCCTGCCCATCCCGTCCTCCCTCTTCCAGGTCCTCATTTGGGCTCTTATGCATGGTTTCTGGTCCTCCCTTCTCTTTGCCCCTCTCCTCCTTATTTATGCAGCCCAGGAGTCATTGATCACTTCATCAGTCTCCTCCAAGGCATCAGCTGCTGCAAATCACAGCAGGGATAAACTGAAACCCAGCAGAGCCGGGAGAGGAACCGCTGCCACTTTCCACCCCTTGCAACTGCAACTTCCCTAAGACTACAGAACTGGCATGGCAAAGAGGGTTCCTTCAGCTGTGGTGCATCACACACACGCAAGCATGCAGGAAAGGAATGGAAAAAGAAGTGGGAAAGCCTTGCTCTATGCCCATGTGGATGCTCATATCCTTGGATGCACAGCTGGAAGGATGAACACATCTGGGCATTACTGAAACTGGGAGACCACAGCTGTTCCTGGGGATATCACTACAAGGGATATGCACAGACTGAGTTTGTGCAGAGGGGGATGATGACAAATCCATCACGAGGGGACGATGTGGGAAATGCTACCATTGGAGTTGATTTTCCTAATAACTTGCTCTGTGGCCAAATTGACAGCTAAGAAAAGAGGCTTTTGCTCCTCCTCCCTGTGCTTTTTCACTTCTTCCCCATCCATCTTCACACCAGGAATCCCTCAAAAGCCCCAGAGATGTGTCTATGCAGAAGTGACTGCTGGAGGGAGCAGTTGTGCCCCACTGCTACCGGCTCGGGACCACGAGCCGCAACACCTCCTGTTCACGTGGGTACCATACACAGCCTCAGGGATGGCCACACTGCAGCCCACCACCACCACATCCCCGTTACAAACCCTGTCAGCATCTCTTAGCTGGAGTTCATTGGGTTTTTACCCATCCCCATTGCACTGGTAATAAAGAGCAGATGGTATTTGCGATTTGGTTTGGAGATAGGCTTCCCCTGAAAAGATCAGACCATGTTCAGCTTCATCTCACCGTCACCACTACATGGAAGGCTCAAGATCAGCCATCCTCCAGTAAGACAAGGCTTTTGTTCTTCCAAGCATCAACTCCAACCACTAACCCAGTGCTCCTGGGGAACTGAGCCAACAGGAAAGGCTCCATCAATTTATCAGCAGAAGAAGGTGGGTTCCAATAACGTAAGATCCAACTTGAGCTCCCATCCCCTCTCCAAGCAGAGAGCAATACAGCAAATGTATGGAAGCAGCAGGTAAAGGATGAACTGAGACTTTGGACAATTCTGATCACCAGTTCAATTGCTTTCACCTTATTTGGCATGTGGTTGTCTTGTACTTTCTAATTACTGCAAGACAAAGCGCTGCCCAGCTTCTTCTTGCCATCCCACTTCCAGCCTTCCTCACTTCTGAAACTGTGATGGATTTAAGTGCTGGGATTACAATTTAACACCAGCTGAGTGAGCCGAGGTTAAGCTTGAGTGAATAAAAAATTGTATTATGGAACGTCAGACTATTAAATGGGGGAAAAAATGGCATGAAGAAGATTAGGGAAGCAGCTAAGAAAAGCAGTATTTAAAAGATTAAGCTGGGAGGGTTTTCTTTAATGCAAGCTCAAAGATTAAGTCCACGTTTTTCCAAGAAGATGGTGATTTTGGGTGGCCTCGATACTTGCCATGTCCAACTCATTATACCATGAAGAGGCTCAAGTTCTGCCATTCCCCAACAGCGAAGGCCCTTTGTGTAGTCCCCAAAAACCCCAAAGCCATCAAATCCATGAGTTCAAACTCTCCCCTTCAAGCAGGTTGGAGAAAGTGGCTCTTAGAGCCAGGTTGGCACCAGCCTTCTTCAGATGTGGGGTCCCCTCTTCGCAACATCCTCATCCTCCACATCCAGGATGGACCCAAGAAATGGGTACGCACACACTCACACACACATGCACACCATTTACCTTTCAGCATCACCATCCAAGGCATCCAACAGGACCATCTTTCCCAAACTAAAAGAACCAAAACGTTGACCATTTTGAGGCTGACATCTCTAAAATGGGGATTTCAGAGCTGGCCTGTACACACAGGGACTCTGCTCTTTACCCTGAAGTAAAACCAGGTCAGCATTTTGGGTTGCAGTCTCTGCGTTGGGCACCCCAAACGTGTAGCCCAAACCTCACATCTTCACAACCACAAAGTCCCATCCAGCCATTATAAGCAGTGCAATGAAAATTTACAGGGATTTCATTTCATATATATATATAACTGTGTATGTATGTGAGTATATATATATATATATATATATATATCTAAAATATGTGTTTGGCCTCTCAAATTCCTAACATAAAGAAGCACTGCTGTCTTGTAGACTCCATCAGGGTCATAAATCCCTATATCCACTAACACCCTGAGGGGACAAAGTGTCACTGTGTCTGTGCAGGTTAATTCACGATGCAAGGGAGTCAAAGCAACTGATTCTTCTCCATTTTCCTGTTTAAACTGCTCTAAGAGCAAAGCCAAGGTCTCCATGGGACACCCTTGAGATCCCAACCATCATGAAAACAAAGCTCCTTGACTGCATCACAAACAGTGCTTCAGCTAATTAAAAAGCCAGCTCATTGAAACAGCTAATTGACTTTTCTGCGCAGAGAGCTTGCTCCAAGAAAATCTAGCCTTTCTAGAAGGCACGGTTGGGCTTTGGATCAGGCCCTGCTGCTCTGCACCTTAGGTAGCCTCAGGGGGGGAAACCACTGCACTTGGGTGGTGATGGCTTCCAGGATCTATCGCTCTCAGGCTCCTGGGTGCCCTGTGGGTTATACTGGAATTTAAGCAACAACAAAAGAAACACAAACCATCAGTCCTGGGTCTTGTAAATGATATGTAGCAGCCAACCTGCCCTGGGGTGGACTGGTGGGAAGCCACCGCTTTGCCTCACCTTCCTCATCTTCTGGGCGCAAGTGGCCTGGCGGGGACCCTTGACAAACCCCAAAGGGGACACGGTATTGCCTTGGCTTTGCATTTGTTATGCTGTGTCTTACACCTTGCAGTGCTTCCTTATTCCCTCTGGAGTAACAGGGGAGAGGATTGAGCTTCTCCATTTCCAACTCCTCTCCCTGCCAGCTCCCCACCAAGCAACGTCCCGCTCTGCTGCAAAACCAGTGCTGTCGGTCGTACTGCGCAAGCTGAGTTTTATTGGTCACAGTGAAAACCCAGCAAAAGCAAGGTCCCTTCTCCACCAAACCCCTCAGCGGCCGGCGACACGCGGCTTCTATAGATTTAAGGTCTCTGGCTGTGCACAGCGATGCAGTGAAGCGAGGTGGTGGCAGGAGGAGAGCAGCAGGAGATGATACCCCAATGCACTGCTCCACAAACTCTCCAAAGAGTTGATCTAAAAAGATCATTTCCAGCGTACTGGCCACTTCTGTGTGTGTTTTTGCCTTTCCTCACTCCAAGAGCAAACCCTGGGGCATCAGGTATTCCAGCCCCTTGTGCTTGTTTTCAAGGTTCGAAGCGTATTTGAGAGTCGTGTCCTCTCTTCAGACAGAAGCAGGGAGCAAGGAAATTCCTGCAAAGCAACCGACCCCGTTCAAAAAGAAAAGAAGAATTAAAAACAAGAGAGAGGGAAAGAAACCTCCCTCCTTTCCAAAGGGAAAAATAAAGGAAGATAAATCCAAACCAACCCCCCTGCGCCCCAGGGCTGGTAGAAGGTGTCTGGATCCCAGAGTCCGTTGTGTTGGTGGGAAAAGCCCAGTGACCTCCAGCCATTGTTGGCAGCCTGAACACACTGTCCCATGCTCACCAGGGTGCTCCCTGGACACGGGTTCCTTGGTGTTGGCTCCATGCCCCATGCCTCCCACTGTGAAAGGCCAGCGGTACTCGGTCTGAACTCAGCGATGCTCTGGGCACTTGGTTTTCCATCCTGCTGAAGATGTGTTTTCTCCTTTAGCTGTTGCAGGTTTTGCTTTTTAAATTCACAGTCTGATCCAAAGAAGAGAGAAATAAAAAGAGAAAGAGAGAGACTGGATGAAGTAGAGGAGGAGGAAGAGTTTGGAGCGGGGAGGGAGGGAGCGTGAGGCACGCCAGGCTCTCCTTCTACGCGTAAAACTCCTCCTGCTTGTCAGGCTTCTGGTACGTCACGTTGGCTTGCTTGGGTTCCTCCAGCGTGTAACTGCCCTCATCCTTCTTCTTCATCCGGTAGATGAGCAGCATGACAAGGAAGGCAGCGAAGAGAGCTCCCACCACGCCTCCCACGATCACCGCTGCAACACAGACAAGTAGCACATCCATCAGTGCTGGCTTTCAGAGCAAATAATAGGGGGGGAATCATTTTGGATTCCAGTTTGGTTTTGTGCTTTGCACCTTTCCTACTCAAATCTATGATTAAGAAAACTGAACACTAAAGTGAGGGGCTGGTGCAATGATGTGGTTCAAGGAGCTTCAACAAGCTCCTCAAGTGCAGTGATGCTGAAGGGTGGGTAAGACCTGAAAGTGAATGACAAAGCAGCCCAGGCACAGTGAGAGGTCCCTTGTGCAAGGAGGGTCCAGAAAGTACCCCCAAAGAGCTGCTCATCTGGGAGCCTGCCAGCATCTGCCATGCTGAAGACCACCAGAACAGCAGCTGCTTTGCCATTTGCCTCCAGCTCTCTTTAGCTGGTGATGGGACACTGACCCTTCTGCCTCATCACTAACGTCCCTTGCAGTCAGAGGTGGCCAGCTGGTTTTCAGTCAGTCCCATAGCACACAGAGTCATAGAACCATAGAATCATTTAGGTTGGAAAAGCCCTTTAAGCTCACCCACTCCAACCATTCCCAGCACTGCCAAGGCCACCACTGAGGGCCTTGTCTACATGGTGCGTGAACACTTGCCACCTCCTGACTCCATCCTCCTGTCAGGCAGTTGTAGGGAGCAATCTTTCCACTAACATCCTGTGTTTGCCCTGCAAAACCATCTTAACAAAAGCAAACTGTGCACAGCTCTGTACTCTCCTCACAAAGACATGAAGACCCTTGGGAACCCCGCAGCAGAGGCCCTGGAGTGCCTGTTGTGGGCTATCCCACATTTCACACTACCTCCATGTCCTTCCAAAGCCCAGCCCCAATCCTGGGGCATGGCCATCCCAGCTCTCTGCCCCATCCCTAAAGCCCCCAGCTCTTCCCCACGAGCTCTCACCTATCAACACTTCTTTCCTCTCCAGGATGTTCTTCTGGGGGAGCTGAGCAGCCGAGTTGCCCGAGTCTATCGTGTTGTCCATCAGCCCCGGCTCCGCGTTCTTGCCCAGCCCGGGTCCCGATGGGGGGGTCACCACAGCCATCACCTCGTTGCCGAGCTCGGGACGAGTCGTCTCTTCCTCCTCCCGGATCTCAAAGTCCCCGCTGGGGCCGCTGCTGACCGGGACCTCCAGCTCGTTGTCGAGGGCTGTCGTCACCTTCCCTGGCTCCATCTGGGAGAAAGGACAAGATGGAGCAAGGGGACAAGGACCAAGGAGTGGTTCCTGCCTTCAGCAGCAATGATGTGTCCAGAGGAAGGACATCACAGTGCTGATGACAGCAGGGAACATGGGGGATAACGCTGGCGTGTCCCTTCCCTGTGTCTCTGATGTGGACGATTGCATTGCATCAAGTAACGCAACCCCACATCTTGATGGTCACCAAAAGGCTGAGGCCACTGTGGCTGAGCTGGATCATTCTTATATGTTTCCATCCCAGGTACCCCAAGATGCACAAACTCTCACCTGCTCCCTGTATCTCCCCCTGAAGAGGGCCCCACATCCCAGGCCCTCATTTGGGCTCTCTGTCCCCAGTGTAGATGGATGGATGGCTGAAACATCTCACAGATGCCTCCTTGCTGGGCATGAAGTGATGGAACTTTTTGTGCTACAGCAACATAGCAAGTGTAAAGACTGGTGCCATCAGACTGGTCCCAGGGAGGTCCCTTCCTTCTCCTTTTTCTCCCTTCAACCTGCTTCTGTGGTTGCAGCCCTGTAGCACAGGGCACAACTGGGTAGTTGGGTCCAACTTTAGCCTAAGAGCTCATCTCAGTCTCCCCTCGGGCAGGTTAAAGCCATTCCCCTTGTCCTGTCCCTGCAGGCCCTTGTCCAAAGCCCCTCTCCAGGTTTCCTGCAGCCCCTTCAGGCACTGGAGCTGCTCTCAGGTCTCCCCTTCAGGAGCCTTCTCTTCTCCAGGCTGACCCAGCCCAGCTCTCTCAGCCTGGCTCCAGAGCAGAGCTGCTCCATCCCAACCGTGACCTATTCATTGCCTCCTGCTCATCCCCACATCTGCAGCTCACTCAGGGCCAAATCCCCCTTCACATTCCCCCTTGTCCCAACAGCCTGACCCCCTGCATGTCCAGATGCTGCGCTGGACCACACTGAACATCCTTGAGCAAAACCTCCCTGGGATCCCTGCTTCCTGGAGCAAACAGCTCCCTCCACATCTGCCTTGGGATGTTACAAAGCCCAATGGGCGGAAGCTGGGGCAGGCAAGTAGAAGCCCTCTTCATATCACACTGCCCTGAACACATGGCTCAGTGCTTCCCACAAGCAGGCGGTTTTGTGACAGGGATTGATTGAAGGTCAGCAAGAGCCCCCAGCTCTGTACGTACATCTACATACAGAAAAGAGGGGCTGGTTTAGACAAATCACTCTGCCTTTCAGTCAAAGCAGTTTTGACAGGGCCCCTGGGGGGTTCTGAACGAGAGATGGAGCAGCACATTAAACCCCCTGCTCAGGACACCCAACGGGTTGGAAACGCTCCTTCGAGCTGGAATTGTGAAGCATTTGGGCCTCCCAGTGACAGGCTGCAAGGTGGGAAATGGTGCAATGAGCCCAAGCACCAAACCCAAAGCACCAAATCCGAAGCACCAAACCCTGGCAAGGCAGAGCTGGGGGCACCAGGAATGCATGGCATACCCTGTGTGCTGCCCATCATCTCTTATGCCAGCCCCATCACCATGCTCTGCCTGTGCTAAATCCCCCCACCCTTTAGTCTCCCATCTCCAGCTCTCCAAATCTTCCAATCTGCAGGGATTGGAAGACCCCAACCTGGATTTGACCTCATTCTAAGCAACGGGGTAAAGACAAATCAACACCAGAGGCTTCCCATCACCATTGCTTGGCTTCCAACACGGCCCACGAGCCCTTTAGCAGGTGAGAAGGGCTCCTGCCTCCTACCTGGGGGGCTTCTGTGGGTGGCAGCGTGGCAGGACTGGAAGGCAAGGCAGTGCTTTTGTCTGTGGGCTCTGCAGTCCTGGACATGGTTGGTTTTGGCAGTGACCTGGGTTTGGCCGTGCTGGTGGGGACAAGCCGCGTCGTGGCCACCTCTGTTGGGGTGCTGGTTGCGAGGCTGGACGTGGTGGGGGTCTCCAGGGTGGTGGCCCGGGTGGTGGCTGCCTTGGTGACCAAGGGGAGCAGGAACCTCCTGATGGTGGTGGGCTTGGCAGCGGCCACGGTGGTGCTGGTGCTGGTGGTGGTGGTGGCCGCGGTGGTGGTGGTGGTCGTGCTGGCTGTGGTCGTGGTGGTGGTGGTGGTCATGGTGGTAGGGGAGATGCTGGCAGTGGTACTGGTGGTGCTTGCTTTCCAGCTGGGGATAACCGGTGTCTCTGTCATCCTGGGGATGTACAGGACGCTGGTGGTCTGCTCGGGGGTGGTGTCCTCAGCAGGGAAGGGCTCAAAGGGGGTAGCCACGGGCTGCACCATGGTGATGGGCACCACGGCCGCCGTGGTGGGCAGAGCGATGGATGTGTCCGTGGGGAGGCTCACGGCCGTCTCGAGCCCCGACTCCCTCTCGAAATCTGAAACAGGGGGAGAAGAATGAAGGGTGAAACATTTCCAAGGGCTGGAATGTGCCTGGAATGTGCCTCACCCCCCAGCAATGAGAGCAGGGACTGGTTCCAGGCTCAGCTGAAACCAAGCACATCCGCAGCATTCCACTATCTGAAAGGGGCTTACAATGGTGCTGAAGAGGGACCCTTCATCAGGGACTCTAGCGATAGGACAAGGGGTGATGGGTTTAAGCTTAAACAGGGGAGATTTAGGTTAGATCTAAGGCTGAAGCTCTTCCCTGTGAGGGTGCTGAGGCGCTGGCACAGGGTGCCCAGAGAAGCTGTGGCTGCCCCATCCCTGGCAGTGTTCAAGGCCAGTTTGGACACAGGGGCTTGGGAACATGGTCTAGTGTGAGGTGTCCCTGCCTGTGGCAGTGGGATGGAGCTGGATGAGCTTTAAGGTCCCTTCCAACCCAACCCAGGCTGTGGTTCTGTGATTCTATGAAATCCTCATGTGCTGGTCAAAGCCCCTCCTCGGGGGTCAATGAAACCTCTATAACATGGCATGTGCCGTTGTGCCAGAGAAGGACTAATCCTGCCCCATAGCACCAGAGACTAAAATGGGAAATGGAATCACCTGAGCCCAGCTTTGGGACAGTTCCCTTTGCTTTTGCCTAGGAAAGAGCAGGAGGGCAGCTCCAGAGGCGGATAAGGGCATCCCATCACAAGCCCCTCTCCAGTCCCACCGAGGACCCTTCCCCACAGCTACTTACACCCTGAGCCTGAGCCCGAGTAGACGTCGTCCAGTTCATCATCCCCAAAGGGGTCATCGTCCCCAGAGCCCTCCAGGTCCACGGGCCTCTCGTAGTTCTCATTGCGCCAGCGCTGAGCCTGCAGCCAAATGGGGACACGCGTGAGCAGGTCCAGCCCCACCAGTGCTTGCACCGACACCCCCAGACGGCCCTCGAGGGATAACGCATGGATTCAACAGGCCAGGGAAGAGCCAGACCACAGGAGCAGAGGCAGCTGAAACACCCAAATCGTGTGGGTTTGCCCCCAAAACAATTCACTGCTGTCAATCCTGCAGACAAGCAGACATGTGGGGAGCTCTCATTGATGCCAATGGTATTTCCCATGGAAACAAGCCCTCTGGAAAAGGGGAGGAGAAAATCCAACAACTGCTGTTGGAAACTAATGGGGAAATAATCAGTTTCTCCAGCTCATTATTGTTGGGTTTAGGTGATATTTGTGTGATTCCTGGCACAGATGTGACAGTAACACACGCTTCCCAGCTGCCGTGGCTTAGGAAGCCTCCATATGAAACACTATCAGACTTCACATATTCCACTGCTTTACAGCGCTAAAACTTGAAGAGCCCTTGCTAGTAGGGCTCTTAAACATCTTGTTTTGCAGATCAAAGTGTCTCCTGGTTGTGTTGCAAGGAAACAGTTTGACACTTCATTACAAGCCAAACAAGGAGTCTTTGATCTGCAAGATAGCATCAGATGTTCCAAGATGTAAGGAGGCAGGTTAGTGCTTAAATTGGAAATGAAGGGGTTGAAGGGTCCCCATCACCTCTTGGAGCGTTTTACCTCTTGACAGAAGCTTGGGGTTTCTTTGTTTTCATTCCAGATTGGAACAAAAAGCAATCTTGAGGAGTCAGAAGAGCCCATGACATAGAAAATCGGCTCTTAACTCGCATCATGTCCCCACATCTCTCCTCCGGGGGCCCAGCAGCTCGCAAGGGGGAGAAAACACTTGGCTGGAGCAAGATGCACTGGGGCTAGAAGACACTTCCCAGGGGCTGTGAGGTGATCCCAGCCCTGGTGCCCAAGCCAAGGAGAGTCACTGGGTACTGCAGATGTGCCCCTGTGTCATCCCAAGCCCCTCTCCAGGCTTCCTGCAGCCCCTTCAGGCACCGGAGCTGCTCTAAGGTCTCCCCTTAAGGAGCCTTCTCTTCCCCAGGCTCCAACCTGTAGCACTCAGCTCCCACACAGGACGCAGATGTTTGGAGCTGGGAAGCCTTTCCTCTGCATCAACCCCAAACCTGCTCTATGCGAACCCCATCACCCCCTCCAGGCTGAGGGAGCAGGATCCACGCCCCAGCCCGGCAGGGATCCATCCCCTGGAGGCGCTGACTGCAGCGGGGAACAACTTCACAGCAATAAAACACCTCGCAGGGCCAAAACCGGCTCTGTGGAGACAACTCCCCTGATGTGAGAGACGTCTCTCCCACGCCTGCCCCTCACACGCCAGCCTGCAGCAGAGCAGAGAGATTCTCAGCCAGGTTTTGCCCTAAATGGATTCCAGAGGATCCGCATCAATCTGTGCTGTTTATACCCAGAACACTGCCAGGGATGGGGCAGCCACTGCTTCTCTGGGCACCCTGTGCCAGCGCCTCAACACATGTTCACGAAGCTGCGGCGTTCCTGCTGCTCAGGAGAGGTGAAATGGGACCTAATGTGGGATGGCAGAGAGTTTCCCTTCTCTTCCTTGTCTGCAAGTCTCTGGGGGCTGCTCCTGCGTGCAGGGGGAGCTGGTGATACAAAACCATGGCAAGCAGCAACGGATGCTGGGCAATCCCTTACTCCAGCATCCTCCACCCTACTCCTAAAGAACCACACAGCCAGGACCAGGCGTGGGGCACCCCCTGACTGCAGCAAGCAGAGCCCCAGCTCATCCAGCTTCACAAAGATTTACTGGTAAAGCCTCGTGAGGCTTCAACAGGCATTCCCAGGGCAGAATGGGGGTGTCTGGGACACGGCTGCTCCCAAAACAAGCCCCCATGTGGTACTGACATAACCCTCCTCCCAGCCAGGCTGCCCCAGCTGCAGCCCCGATGGTATTAGGTCAGGCTCATGCAATAAATCTTGGGAACAGTCGGTGTTTATTTGGATTTACTGCTGCTTAGATCCCTAATGCTCCGCATGCCCCCAGCCCCACACAGCCCCCCTGCGAGGAGGGGGCTGCTCCCCCTTTGCAGCATGGGATGAAGGGGAGAGGAGCGGTGCTTTTGCCAGCCCAGGAAACCACAAATCACACAGGACGGCAGCTCCCAGCCTGCAGCTGCCTCCCACCCCTCAGCCCCCATCGCATCAAAGGCGCAGCTGGCTGGATGGGTCCCAACAGAGAAACCCCATCCAGACCTTATCCCAGACCCTGCAGGCTCCAGGTCGGAGCGAGGTTGGAGGGAGCCTGCCGGCAGGATCCCTGCATGTGCTGGATCCATCCCTTGCTGCCCCTGCTCCCTGGGATAGGCTCACAGAATCAACTGGGCTGGAAAAGCCCTTTAAGCTCACCCAGTCCAACCATTCCCAGCACTGCCAAGGCCACCACTAACCCATGGCACTGAGGCCTCGTCTCCACGGTGTGTGAACACTTGCAGGGACGGTGACTGCAGCCCTGCCCTGGGCAGCCTGTTCCAATGCCTGAGCACCCTCTGGGGCAGGAATTGTTCCTCAGCTCCATCTAAACCTGCCCTGGTGCAGCTTGAGGCCGTTTCCTCTTGTCCCATCCCTTGTTCCCTTGGGGGACTGTGTCAAGGACTGCCCTGACCCCATTGCATGTTGGTGCTGCTGCCCCAACGAGCACTGCAAGCACCAAAGGAGGGTTTTCCATGGATTTCCTGCCTGCCTAGGATGGGAGTGACACAAGTCACATCCACCCCTTCGCCATGGTTGGGATAGGGGGGACATGCTCGCAGGACTCCCACATCCTCTGTGTAGCCCTTTCTGGGTGTCCAATGCAAAGCTGGGCCAGGCAGAGAGAGGCTCCCTGGGGCAAGGAGGAAACCCCAGCATAGGGAGAACAAAGCATGAGGAGACCCCAGTGCGATGTTGATCCTGGCCCCAGTGCTCCTTGCCCCACACCACCCCCAGCTCAAGCCAAGGGACAGCAGCTCCATCCCTGCAGTTACAGCCTCCCAGTCAATGGCTGTTGGCAGCGGGGCACCCAACAGCTCAGTGCTGCTTGCCCCAGCCAGGCTTCATTAGGGAAATTAAACCAGTCAAGGCAAAGCTGCTGGAGGCACTGGAGCCCAAGACACCAGCCAGGCCTGGGGGTTGCATTACCTTTGGCAGTGTTTAAATCCATGGGAGGCAAAAAGGAGTGGGAAGGTTTAAATCGCCCTGCGAGGTGCTGGCCCTTCACCAGGCCATGCTCAGGACTGTCCTGCAGAAAGGGAACTGCTCCATGTGGCTCTCTTCCTCCCAGAAAGGGAGCCACAAGCCTGTGGCTCAGCCCATGCCAGCCATGGAGACAGCCTGGGCCCGGATCCAGCTCTGGCATCCTCCAGACCCCAATCACTTGCCCTTTTTCCAGGCCTCCAACATCCAGAAAGGTCACAGATCTGCTATAAAAGGAAGTCCTGGTGCAAAGCGGTCTCCATAGACCATAGAGCAGGCAGTCAGATTTCAATAAACATCCCTCCAGTGCTCTAAATGTCACAAAATAAGTGCCAGACCTAAAGGATGCTCTGGAGATGACATGGCCACTACATCAAGCTTGGACAACAAAAACATCCTCCACTTGATCCCAAAGGACCCTTCTGGTCCCATAGCCTCCATGAGGCTGAGCAAGATGAGCAGGAGATGATGCCCACGCAGCCTCTTTGATGCCTCTGCTCTGCAGCTTGGCTGGACCGGGCAGGAACAGCAGCCAAGAGGCTGGAGCAGCACAAATCACACCCATATCCCATGCTAAGAGCCTTGGGGAGCAAGTGAGAGCTCTGACCCTTTGGCCTGGGACTGCTGGAGCTGAGCAAGGGAGATTAAAGAAGCTTCAGTCCCTCTCCATCCTCTATGCCCATCTCACCCACGCAGCACAGCCCCTTAAAGCCCATCCAGCTCCAACCCCTCCCACAGGCAGGGACCCCTTCCACTAGAGCAGCTTGCTCCAAGCCCCTGTGTCCAACCTGGCCTTGAGCACTGCCAGGGATGGAGCAGCCACAGCTTCTCTGGGCACCCTGTGCCAGCGCCTCAGCACCCTCACAGGGAAGAGCTTCTGCCTAAGAGCTCATCTCAGTCTCCCCCCGTCAGGTTAAAGCCATTCCCCTTGGCCTGTCCCTACAGGCCCTTTTCCAAAGCCCCTCCCCAGGTTTCCTGCAGCCCCTTTAGACACTGGAGCTGCTCTAAGGTCCCCCCTTAAGGGGCCTTCTCTCCCTAGGCTGAACAAGCCCAGCTCTCTCAGCCTGACCCAGAGCAGAGCTGCTCCAGCCCTCACAGCATCATTAGGCTGTTACATTTTTTAGGGTGTTCCTACTCCATGGCAGGGCTAAAAACCCTAAACCCGCCCTAAACATCAAACCCGAAATGTGCTGCCATTGCAAAAGCAATATTCACTGCTGAGTGTCTGGGTTTCACACCAGGAGGAACAAAACCTTATAAATCAATTAATCTTTAACCACGGGGAGAGGCTGGTGGGTGAACCTCTCTGGGATGCTCTCAGGCCCTTCACCAGTAGCCATCAGCATAGCAACGGTCGCCATGGAAACCGCCTCCTCCATGGCGACGCATCCATGGCTGGTGCGGGGCGATGGGTGGTGCTCCCCAGCGCATCCACAGGATCCGGGTCCGGGGTCTCTTCCCTGTTGGGGGTCATGGGGAAGGAGGAATTGAATGACCTGATGGGGTGGGCAGCAGGGGGGGGGGGGGGAAGTTGCCTCCAGCTCCTGGGGAGTGGTCCTGGTGGGGCAGAGAAATCCTGATTCAATTCCCAGCATCCACTGCCTGTGAGACTTGCAGGGGGTCAGAGCATCACCCCACACCGCAGCAGCCCTGGTTGGGATGTTCTCTGACCCAGTCTGCGTGTGATTGAAGGCTGTGGATGTTTCTAACTCTCCTGGCTGTGAGAAGCAAGAGTTTTCCCTGAGGGAATCAGAAAGCACATAAAAAGAGCTGGAATTTGGTGGTTTCTAAGGCAGCTGGGATGCAGGCTTGGTTCATGTCTGGAGGTTAGGCGGGTGGTGATGGGGGACCAAGCATCGGAGCCTGAGGAGCCCATGTGCATCCTCCCATCAGTCCAACTGCAGTCCCCAGCACCTCACGTGGGGTTTGGAATGAGAAGGCTCCTGCTGTGGGGAGAGCTGGCATGGCAAGATGGGGATGAAGGTGATTTTATCCAATGGTATGGGTGTCCATGGCCACCCAGGGGCCTCCAGCACAACTCTAGGGCATGAGATGGGGCCAAGGCAGGGGGAAAGGATGCATGTGGAGAGCATCAGGAGGGATGCAGGGATCAGCCTGCTCCACATCCCAACAAGCGGGCAAAGAGGAGAAGGAAGATTGAACCAGTGTGAAGGCAGCCTAGAGAACAGGACAGGGCTGTAAAGGGAAGCACAAGGACTGGCTTGCATCCCATCCTTCCCTATCCCCTGGTGCCAAGCACAGGTTCTTGCCTCTACACCCAATCCCCTGCCTACCCTGCTTGCAAAGCAAAGAGCAAAACCAGAAAGGCAAAGTCTCAACGTTCTGTTTGCATTTCAACCCATTGAGACAGCTTTGGGAATCCCAAACCCCCTGGTCCCAGCAGCAGACCCACTGCCCTGCATGCTGCAAGAGCAAGAGGAGAGGACAAGGTGGGCAGGTACTGGCTTTGGCCGGGATGGAGAGATGCAAACAGCAAGGGGAATGCTGGGCTGTGTCATTCACCAGAGATGCTGACTCTGTCTGCGTTGGAGAGCTCGGAAGGACGCAGCCAGGGTCAGTAATCCATCGGGGGCTGAAAACCATTTTGTCCAGGAAAAACTGAGACCATATTGCAGGAAAAGCGTCGATTATTTCTTTGCTATTTTCCGCAGGATATTTTCAATTAATCACCCTTGGAAAGCGCTTTTCTGGTGTTTTATATAGCCAACCTCAATAGCTCGTCACAACATGTGATTTAGTGATACTATAAACAGTTGAAATAATATCCACTTGCGCATAAAGCTGGAATGAAAACATTGTTTCTGAGCCTTAAAGACTCCACAATTCTTTTCCCACTACAGACCAACAAAAAAAAAATCACTGAATTTCCACTCTTGGATCCAAGGCTGCGAGTTAAAAATAAACCTGTTGGAAAGCTGCTCCAGACGGCATCTCAGTGGCACAGGGACCTGCTGCTTTGGGAAAAGACCTCCATGTCCCAGCATGGTCAGCCCCCAGCCAACATTTTTGCTCATGGATTGATGCTGGAGACCACCAAAGCTGCTTGAGATGGAGATGCCCATGGTAAAGCCTGGGCTAGGAGGCAGTTTGGGGTGCAGGATGCTGATGGGAAGCAGGGAGGGGGTGATGCTCACAGCCAACTTACGAACCGCGGTGTGAGCTCACACAAGCAGCAGCCAGGTCGTTTGTGTAACTTCATTCTTTCTCTGATTAATGAAGCCCCTGCACAACAGCTGCCTAAACCCCAGCGCATTCTGATTTAATAAGCCTGTTATTTTATGCAAGTAAAACAATCATTAACATTTAGCAAGGAGCAGCAATTATTCTGGCTTTGTATCGATTCTCCACTGCCAACGCAGGCAACGCTGCGAGGAGCCAGGCTGGGAGCAGCCACATCCCAAAACCTGCCTTCGGACACACACACTTGTGAGTGTTTAATCATCACATAATGAACTGCCAAGCCTAGGTACCCTAAACCAGGCTCAGCTCTTCCTGTCCTCCTTGGGATCATCTGTCTCCACTGTCATTCTTTATCCCAGTTCTTCAATGGATTAGTGCCAGATCCTACCCATTACAGAGTAAATATCCCGGAGCCAGGGCTGGCATGAAAAACAGCAATCCTCCCGACAAGGTGGGCTGCTGCTGACACCTCATCTCCCAGCACACTGGGCTCTTACCTCTGGGGACATGGAGGAGAAAACAAAGCCAAGCACAAAGCACAAGTCCCCAGCTCCTGCTGCATGTAAATCCCTGGGGAAGAGGCACACAGGAGCCACGCATCAGCTGGGATTGCATCAGGCAACGAGATGGCTTCTTGGGGTCCCCCCAAGCACCCCTGGGATCACCGTGTTTGGTTCCTGCTGCATCCTCAGTGGGTCGAAGTGTGGCCTTTCGCCCCACAGCTGTGGGTTTGGCCAGAGCTGATGGAGCACTTGGCTGGGAATGCTGTCAGCAGATGCAGGAGGGGAGCAGGAGGTTCCCCAAGCCTGGATGAGCCAGCATAGGGAAAAGCCAAAGCCAGGCCCTGCAGACCCCTGGAGAGGGGAGAGTGCCATGCCACAGCCTGAAGCATCGTGATACCCACTCACTCACATCCCAAATCGATGGTGCCATCCATCCTTATACTCAGAGCATCCTGCTAACGTGGGGGGGAAACAGAGACCACCTGCATGGGATGGAGCAGAACCAGGCCAGGCTGGAGGGCAGGGATGGTCTTGGGCAGCCGAGGTGCCTGCAGCCCCAGCTCTGCCTCCTCCACCTCCCACTGTGCCTGGCCAGGCTGATCCCTTTTCCACACCGAAGGATCCACAGTGTGCTCCAGACCCATTAATTCCCATGGGACTGCACATTGCCATGGTGACACAGGCAGCCCCGGGAATACCCACAGCCCCCAGACCACCATCCATGGATGCTCATGGTGGGCTCCATCCACCTTTTCCTTCCCAGGGGCTGGGGAGCTGCAGGCATCAGCAGGAATTCCTCCCAGTCATTACAGAATTGATTTAATTTGCTCTGCTCCATAATCCTATTGCAGCTTAACATGCAAAACTGTCTGGAGCTTTTCTCACCTTCCACAAAGGCTCCTTTCCTCTTAGACTCGCTGATGAGGAGCTGTGGGGATACATGGGTGGGGATGTACTGGGTGCTGCACCTTGCTGGAGAGCAGCCTCCTCTCTGAATTACTCTCCTAATTACACCTGAGAGGCTTTTGGTGGGGACCTGAACTAATTATTCCCACTTAACACCTTCTTGGCCTTCCTGGCTATTGCCCATCAAGGGTAAGTGAAAATGAATGTCTCTGAAAATAAATGATGAAAATGAGGTTATTTCAGCCTCATAAGGGGCCTTCTCCATTCCCAAGGACTGTCCTGTTCCTTTTGGGGGCTCACTAGAGAGTCAAAGCCCCCATAAGCCCTGGCCACAGCTGAGCATGAGCCCTGCTGAGAGCTGGGGGGGTGGGTTGGCAACAGCTTGAGCTCCTCCACACACCCAAATCTCCTCAGCCAGATGGTTGGGTTGATTACACGCTTCCCAGGTCACCCGAGGGCAGCACCAGCATCACCACAGGCCCCCCAGCTCCGAGTGAGGAGCCTCAGATAGGGAAAGAGCTTTTCTCCCTCTTTCCACCCTATTTGCTGCCAGTGGGAGCCCATTCGCTTCCCTTCTTCATGCCCAGGGAAGGGCAGACACAGCACAGAGGGAAAAGCAACCACCATGCACCCGATGACACGAGCCTCATGGAGTGTTTGGGCATCACCAGGTTCAGTTTTAATCCGCAGCAAGCAGAGAGGGTGGAATCAAATAGGTGTGGGGATGGTTGGATGCACAGCACCTCAGACACTGGCCTCCTTGTTCTCCACCAGCCATGCAGCATGGCTGGAGCAGGGGAAACCTAATCCCTGCTCCCTCCCTGCTCGGGTTTCTCAGCTCTTTCGTGTTAAAGCACTGGGGAGGCAGCAGCAGCACTAACAAAACACGATGGTGGCGCCAGCCCTTGAGACACAAGAATTTAATGCCCAGCGCGTTACAAGCAAGGCTGGGATGGAGCAAGGTTTGCATGCACTGCGCTCCCGACTCCTCCGTTTACTCCAAGCCCCTAAACCAGAATAGACCCTGGCAATGGGGGGGTTAATCCTTGTCAAGACCATCCACGAGGACAAGACCCCCAAGCAAAACTCAGAAGGGATGGAGCAAGAGCACATGGATTAACTGAGGTACAGGGATAACACTGGGGCCATCAGGTTCTTAGTGAGGTGCAGTGATTTCCTAGGACTGATGTGCCACTGTCACTGGGGGAATGCACCTGAATTTGGGGGTGTTGAGTTAATCAACCAGCATTTGAAAGACATGCAAGTACCGAGTGTTTCTTGCTTGACACTTAAACACTCACATTTTTTTGCACCTTAAAAATAGATCAATGCATGAATACATTCAGAGCAACCAGGTATTAGCACTGCAAAAGGCGTGTGAAAACTCCTTGCAAACAGTGAGTGGGTCCCAGTGCACGTGGAAGAGCTTCTCACCACCAAGAGTAACCCAGTTCCTGCTGTCTTGTCTCATCACTCAGCTCTCCTATGAGAATTAGAGCAGGATGGGGAGCTCACACTGGACTCCCTGCCCTCGCTGCCCATGCCCAGGGAGGAGAGGTGATGTGACAAAGCAGGGAAAGGCCAATAGCCAGTCTGGGGCTGCATCCTGGCTCTATCCAGCCCCTCTGGGCAAGACAGCAACCATCCAATTCACTTCATTTTCCAGCTGCAGAATGAGCCTCTCTCCCTCCAGAAGTGCTCAGGAGCAGGTTGACATTTCCCACACGCAGCAGATCACCACTGGAGCAACTCAATTGAGGGAGAAAAAG